CCCCCCCCCCACACACACACACACAATAAAATCTTAAACTCTTTTTATTCTGTTGTTTTTATTTGGCATATACTATAAGTCTGAAGCCATGTTGGCTTCTCGTAGTTGTCGACTTGGATGTGAAACGCTAGAATGGGCAGATCGTAAACACAGAGACTGCAACAATCGTGAAGAGGCTGGCACCCGACATGGTATTAACTATTCGGTATACACCGAACCCTCCCATTACCGACATTTTGTACTACAAACATCTCCTTCTTTCTTAAAATTTCTGTCTTCAGCAGGTCATTAGCCTATAAGTCAATGCAGAAGAAAAATATAGTAAACCGGAAGGTTGCGAGTTCGAGTCCTGATGAGATGGAATTTTTCAATTGACTTAATCCTTCCAGCCGCACTATGGCTCTGGGGTCGACTCAGCTTCTGACAGAAACGAGTACCAGGAATCTTCCTGGGAGTAAAAGGAGGCCAGCGCGTAAGACTAACAAACTTACCGCCATCTGTGAGCCGATTTTCTAGTAGATGTGGGATCCTCGACGTCTCACGGCCTCTTAGAGGGATAACTTTACTTTTTTACCTCTTACCGTCTACGTCACAATTTCTCCATGATTTAAATGGAAGTACGGGGTAGTTGCAACATGCAGTACCAAGCCTGTACTACTACAGTACTTCACATCAGTGCACCCTGCTCCCACAAATGTTTCTTTGGCTGCATAAACACCAGGCCCTAGGTCTGGCCTGGAAGAAATACAATTATATTAACGTAAGGTGAAGCCTGAGTTCGAAGTACTAGCAGTCAGAGATAACCAAGGCAACTGGGTCTTCCTCACACTCAGTATCCATTCGCTTAGTGGGGGATGGAGTCTAACTGGGTTCACTCGGCAAGGCGGCCACTGAACGGCCTATTGTAGCCTGCCCCGGGTGATTATGATGAAGGAGCAATTGGTGGAATGAAGATTGGCACGGGAAACCGAAGTACTCCGGGAAAACCTGCCCCAGCGCCACTTTGTCCACCACAAATCCCACTTGACCAGACCCGTGATCGAACCCGAGCCAGCGACTAACCGCTTGAGCTACGGCGCGGCCAAACATCCATCTAACTCCGTCTAGATTGTGCGAAAATTTACATCAGTGTATCGAAAGTGTCTGGTATGCTATTTATAGTACTATATTTTTCGAACTTAATTGTCAATCTAAATAGCAATGAATATAAGCAAGACAACATACTGCGACCCTAACTTTACTTTATTCTTTCCTTCTGTGCGACTTACAAGCAGAGATTACCTGGTATATCTCAATGCAGAGATCTTAGACTCTGCTTCTCAGTTCGGTAAATACTGGGTTCTCCTTAATCTCCGCAAAACGTTAAAAGTGAGCAGTCTTCTTTTCTTTTACATACGTAAAAATCAGGTAAAAATATCCCTGTAAATTTGCTTGTCTCGTGACTTGTCATATTGTCCATATTGCTCGCGAGCATAGCGAGTCGCACGAGCACGAGTAATGTGGACGCGCCTTAAGAGAAATGAGTACCAGGAATATTCCTGGGGGTAAAGGGTGGCCGGCGCGTAGTGCTGACAACCTTACCGCCATCTATGAGCCAATTGTCTAGAAAATGGGAACCTCAACATCTCACAACCCTATGGGCCTCCACGGCCTGTTGCAGGGATACCTTTACTTCCTTTACTTTTAGTTTGTCTCAGCAGCACACCGCACGATGTAAATTTATCTCAGTTTTGTACAATCTGAGTCCCGCATTCCATAACTATGCGTACACATGCTAAATAACATAAACAGTGTTTCTTTTCCAGACAAGAGGAATTAGGAGTATCGAAACAACCTTATAATGGCGTACCGGGACAGTCTGACCAGGCCTGTATTCAGAGTGGAGATTCGAGGGTTGTAATCCACCTCACTTCCTTCCTTCAATTTAAGAGAGCCACGAAAAAACAACACGTTATTCTGACAACTCGTCACAGCGCTAGATGACGAAACATAAATACAGGCCATAATTTCCCCCCTTGTTCCACAGTTTACCTGCAGCCAATGTAGCGCACAACGTTGGCCTCACTGCCTGCGTATCTCTGTCATTTATCGAAAATTCGATTAGCTCTGGTTATGGTGCACATTAGCGGCGACGTTTCGGGAATGTACGGTGTAGCGAACTAGTTCCTATTTCTGTTTTAAGGCGAAGGTTTTTTTAGCCCGCACTGAGGGACCATGGTCTCACGTGTACAAAGTCAATATGATTTCGGAACATCAGTTCACCCACAAAGACCCAGAAGTCCACGCTAAAGGAAAACACCTGGTACGGTAATTGTGTGCAAATAAGGGTTGATATGCCGATAAGTTGCTAAAATATCTGTTTCCCGTCTCTCGCCCTCAACCATAGAGGAAGTTTAATACAAAAAAACCAAACCAAACTCCGTGGCTTTAGTTCAAAAGCGAACTATACCTACCGAGCGACCGCGGCTTGTCGGCGAAGTTAGTACCAACGTTACCAGATAGAGGGTGTCGCATGGTCAGCGCAATGAATCCCCATGGCCGTTATTTTCGATTTTCTAGACTGGAGCCGCTACTTTTCCATTTAAGAAGCTCTTCAATTATCCTCACGAGGCTGAGTGGACCCCGTTCAAGGGCTACTACTAATTCTCAGGAAACCTAGTAGCGCTGCGAATCGAATCCATGACCTATAGATCTGTAGCCAGGAACTCTGACCGCTAGACAACAGAGGCGGTCAGAGGAAGTTCGATATGTTTGGAAATTACAAATTATGCAGTTTATGAGTACTGAGGGAAACCACAAGAAATCTCAGTAAGGTTAGTCGGTGTCCTCGAACGGAACACCTCCCGAATAGAGGGGAGAAGCATTACCGACTGAGTCAGCTTGCCTGGTCTATGTATGTGAGTTATCTGAACATGTATGTGTTCTGTCATTCTGACGCCATATTTGTTTTTACGTACCTCGACTGGTGGCGGTTCCGTGTCGCTGAAAATGTATCACCTGAAATATAGAGATAAAATTTAATTAGCTTCTCTGAAGGAGAAATGAAGGGACAAGATTAGGGCATGAAAGGAAGAAAGAGGACGAATCTGAAGATATTAAAGAAAGAATTCCCGATTTACTTTCGAATGGTTCCCCACTAATAGAAAAATATAGACGAATCGAACTTAGTGATTCAGCCTCTCTGGAACAGTTTATACCCAGTTTCCTGCCATTAGGGAAACCGAATTATGCATATGTGAAATGTTTCATATAAGTCAACACTTGCAAATATGGCGACAACGAGGATTATTTAATTAATTCCTGGTACTCATTTCTGTTAGAGGCTGAGTAAACCCCAGGGCCATACTGCGGCCGGAAGGATTAGGTGAACTGAAAAAAATCCAATGACCTCATCGGGACTAAAACCCGCGACCTTCCACCTTGTAGCATAGTACACTAAACACTACGCTACCGCGTACCCCATTGTTTGATTTTTACTTTCTTTTAATTCTCTTAACTCTTTCTTCCTTGAAATCGCCCTGATTACGTAATGACAGATGAGTCCTGCTTCCGTACCCACACCAGGTCCATCCCAGTGAGCAGAGTTTTACTGTATCCTGGTCCTTCCCCCGACTTCCTGTCCGAAAAGAGTACCAAGGATGCTGGGACGATTCGAGTCTGTGATTATTGCCACCACCGCCTTACTTCCCCCTAATCGCCAGTATTTTACCTCTTTCCATATCACCCGCTCTTCCCCCATTCCACCTACCTCCATAAAGTTGAAGCCCCTAATTACAGAATAATCACCCAGACCCATCCCTTCAACTGGCGTCTGTCTCCACTCAGTACCATTAGCCATAAAGCCTTGCCTGATGCTTAGGCTCTGGTCTCTTCTATTTATAACCCAATGACGTAAGTTAATGCGCTAGGCATATAACGGCGTTAAAGGCAAGTTTTCTTATATATAAATTTTGTCTCTGTCGTTTTCGTCCCCCCTTCTTTATCTGCTCTCCCCGCGTGTCCCTCTACTACACGTTAACGTTGCGGTAAAGTTGCAACAGCTGTGGAAAGAAACAGTGAGCACGGGAAGAGAATGAGAGCCATTTACACAACTATTTTATATACGACGTTCAAAGATACCCTCCTCTAATCGTGCGTCACATAAGTTAAGATATATAGTCGCGCGCAAAAGTAAAGTCTCTAAGTGTAAACCTTTCTAACACGTACGCAGTTAACAAATCCATTTTCTTTGCATGTTAACAAACCGTAAGTCTGGTTCATTACAGACTAGTGACGCGATCTCGCACCGCTTATGTGCGAGCATACAAACAAACAAAAACAAACTCCTTGGCTTGAGCCCGCAAGCGAACTATACCGACCGAGTGACTGTCGCTTGTCGGCGAAGTTAGTACAAACTTCAGCGGATAGAGGGTGTCGCGTGGTCAGCACAAAGAATCCCCGCGGCCGTTAATTTCGGTTTTCTAAACCGGAGCCGATATTTCCTTGAAAGAGCTCCTCAATTATCCTCACGAGGCTGAGTGGATGCCGTTCCAGGCCCACTACACGTAATTCTCAGGAAACCGGACCTCTGCTTCTGTAGGCAGGAACTCTGACCACTAGACCACAGAGGCGGTCCGTGTGAACATACAGGAAACAGAAATATACTAACAAAAATAAGTGAAGAAATGCCCTGAAGTCGTGTCCGTAATTCAAAAGTGACAATTGGTTTTATATCAGCACAGCAGTTATAGTGGCTGTCCCAGGCAGGCACCAGGAAAGAAGCAAGCCTTGATTCAAACATCTCTGGGTCTATCTTCTGATTGCCGTTTTGGTCAGGCAGGATGAAGTGACAGTTTGGAGACACGAAGGAGGAAGCAACTGGAAGACCTTTGTTAAGAGAACTTTCCGATATATTAGACTGACTTAATGGCGGTCTCTGTAACACACATGGAAGGGGATGAACAATTAATATAGAATTTTCAGCTGGAAACCCTAAAGCGAAAAGATTTAATGCAAAAATTAATATGTCGAGGAGAGGACAATATTAAAATGATCTTTAAGGAAGTTGGAATTGGAGTTAGGGACAGGGTTCATCTGACTCAGAGCAGGGACATGCGACGGGGTCCTGGGAATACCGGAAAATGAAACGAAGAATTTCGTTACTCAGTAGCCATTGATATCTCTAGAGATATTCTGCTGCATAGAAACAGTTTGTTCATTCCTTAGTTAGTTAGTCGGACAGTTCTGAATTAGAAAACGACATTTACGAAAGCGTGAGTTAGGTTCCCAACTGCCCCTTTGTAACTGGGTTCAGTGGATTCGAAGTTCCTATTAAGAATGTTAAAACAGGAACTATGAGACAGTGGGGGCACGCGGTAGCGTTGTTGGTTGAGGCACTATGCTACAAACCGGAAGGTCGCGGGTTCAAGTACCGATGAGGTAACTGGATTTTTTCAATTGAACTAATCCTTCCAGCCCCACTACGGCCCTGGGGTCCACTCAGTCTCTAACAGAAATGAGTACCAGGAATATTCTTGGGAATAAAGGGAGGCTGGAGAGTAAGTCTGACAACCTCACCGCCATCTGTAAGCCGATTATTTAAAGAAAATGTGACAGCCTCGACGTCTCACAACCCTATGGACCTCCACGGCTTTTTAGAGGGATACCTTTACTTAATTTTACTTACGTTTACTTACTATGAGACAGCTGACGGAGAAGGAACTGTGGAAGTGGTCATAGTTGTTTCTAAAGCAGGCCTATTTTTACATTTTGTGTGGAAAGTGGCAAAATTAAAAAAAAAACACTTCAGGTATGTGTCGATTCTCTCCGTACTAAGAGAAGAGGCGATCAGTAAAACGTAAATGTAAAGCTATCCCTGTAAGAGACCGCGGAGGCCCATAGGGCTGTAAGACGTCGAGGCACTCATATTTTCTAGATACTCGGCTCACAGATGGCAGTGAGGTTGCCAGTCTTACTCCCAGGCCGCGTTTTATCCTTGGGAAGATTTCTGTTATAATCTGAGTCTACTCCAGGGCCATAGTACGGCTGGAAGGATTAGGTCAATTGAAAAGTCCGACGACCTCATCGGGAATCGAACACGCGATCTTCCGTCTTGTAGCATAGTGCCTCAACTGACTACCCTACCGCATGACCCCCCAGAGGAGATAAGGAATCCAGTTTAATTGTCACTGTATGTTAGCTGAAATATATTATACAGACATTCAACGTCCCCGAATTATGTTTATAAAACACCTGAAGTCAGTTTAATGCAAGTCTTACACAACTCACAGTTTGATACTACGATCTCTGTTTTCTATAATTCGCAATTTTTGGTGTTCCTGCAGAAAACACTGACTTCGTTTGAAAATGAAGGCTATGTTCATCTCGACAAAAATCACAGCCAAACTACCTAATGTGTCGTTAGATATTATAATTCTAAGCTAGTTTCATGATTTTAAGTTTGAAGAAAGTTCTCTGCTATTCTCAACATAATAGAAATCATTGACAAACACCGGTACGCAATCTCTGTACTTGGGAATGAAGTACAAACATTCTTTTTCCCCCTTGGCATTAGAGCCCCAGTGGGCCTAAGCCCCTACCTCCATGAACTGCTCCGTTCACTTCGGTTTTTCTGGATCTTACACATTCGGTAGGACTCCTTGGGCGGGTGATCAGCTCGTCGCAAGGCCTGTACCTGTACACAAACACAGAAAAACCCATACACACAAACTAAACATCCATGCCCTGACTGGGATTCGAACCCACGATGCCTTAGACCGCTCGGCTACCGTGACCGGCACAAACATATTCAAAGGAATATACGCAGTATTGGCACGTAACTAACGCAGAAATAATTAACATGTTCAATCCGAAATGATGTTTGATCAGTCACTTTATTCCTGGTTGTTCGAATAAGGAACTGATGTTACTTCCTCTCTTTTAGAAATTATTTCTCCCTTAACAAAACAAACAAAAGGCTTCATATTCTGATGTTTTCTCGTGCGCGTCATAATATTTAGCCTACATTATTTTGCGATGCACGACATGAAAATCTTATCGAAATTACTGTAGTGTGTTACGAGCCACCTCATCCACTAAGATTAGTTCTCATCTTGGGCACCAGACTGTATCGAAACTTGTTAAGTAGTGTTGAAGATGAAGTAACAAACCAGTGTGACCTCATTATGGTTAGTTTTAGGTAGTCTGTGCAAAATAAAAGTGCATAATAGCAATTACAACTGAGGAAGAGAGAGAAGGAAGAGATAATTGTCAGGAATAAGACAAGTATCAAGTTTGTTATTTGTCGTATCCCTTAACAACTGATATCAATTGTAACTATCTGTATGTCCCATTGTAACGGAAGTAAGGTATAATTTTCAGCTAACTATTCCGTAAATTAGTTCCTATCTCACAGGAAACATTTTCCGTCTTCATTTTGTTCATTTTAATTCAGATAAACGAACACTGCTTATTCTGAGAGTCATATAAGACTCATAAACATTCTCTGCGGGCAAGTACAGAGCTGATTTAGTTTTAAAATAGGTGGAACATGCAATAAACATTGATATTTCTCTGGTGCAAGGCCTGCATACGTGTGGGGTTTTCTTACCTCTCACAGATGATTTGTGCTGTTTTTGATTTATGTACCCCTTCTTGAAATTAGCATAGATGTCCGCAGATAGGGACTAGCTCTGTCTATTGGGCCCAACTGAGTAAGTTTTACCTGAACACGGAGACAGAATCCAGTCTCCGAAACGTTGTGTTTTGAAAAATAAACAGGACGCGTTTTTGATACAGACAAGACGATGGATAATGTCCAAAAACATAGTACCTGCAATATCTGTGCTTTAAAGTGACGAGATGGAAAGGCAACTGTTATATATTGCAGTGAAGTTTGACTAAATCACTGAAATCGATCTGCAAATTAATTTTATGCATCCCATCGGCTCCGTTCCGAATCCCCGATTCTTGTCCCTGACGATTACAAAACCTACAATCGCCATTTTTATTATATTCAA